GGGCCCGAGTACGCTTTTGAATCAAGCTTGATGACCCGCGTCTCTGTAGCTCCTGCTTCTCTTACTTATTGATGTCCCGGAACATCTGTTAGTTGCATGTCATGGGTAGCTATCTGACGTGGGAATTCAAACCCATCAAGCTTGCCTGTCCCACCCTCCCATAGCAGTCTCGATTGCACCAATTTTTCCCCAACTTGAGACCTGGTGATTGGCCTGTTGGTTCTTTACATATCTCTAAGAACGAATCAGATCAATATCGCCGTTGTATTAGCTCTTCCCCTCCTTGCGGTAATATCGATCAGCCATGTTCTTATCCTGCTGCGTCCACAAAGAAAATTCATTACCTAGGCAACCATAGGGGCCACCGCAAAGGACTGCGGAGCCGTGATGAATAATTGCGAGGCGGATCGACGTTTCGAAGAGCCTGCAATGCTTACACGGAGCCTTACAGTGTTCAATACCTCCCGGTTCGACCTTGTTCTTTTGAGCACGACCGGCACAGATGATATAGTCGGAGTGAGCCGCATGCATTTCAGAGGAAGATGTGCGCTAGTGCTGAATTGGTTGCCTTGACCATGAAGGGTACCGTGAGGTTTTAAGTCCTGTGATTCGATCTCGATTTCACTGATGCGTTTTTGAATATTTCTCGATTCGCCACGATGGGACTGGGGGTTTGTGGGTCACATGATATGCCACTGTCTCAGGGCAATGGGCAGGAGACAGGTGTCCAGTACGAGCTAGGTAGCCACCTGTTTTGCATCTGTCAATTGCTCTTCAATCGATTTCGTCTCTTTTAGAGCCATTACATATTTTTTGTCCCAACCGTCCACACCTGTACATAGCTAGATTTTATTTCACTCCAGGTCTATGCCATAGGTATGGGAGTTTTCTTGCGCTGGTGTATGAGAAATATACCTGTTTAGGCCTCTGTTAAGGCCTACTAAGGCTTACTATCCCCCGCGTGAGACGACCCAACCACTATCTACACTCTATGTGGGCCCCTATATGTGCATGTGATGCGTGTTTTTCATGAATAGGACAACTAACGAGAGATTGACCGACAGAGTGAAGGAAGAGAAGCGATGTTATGTGAAGTGAGACAACTGGTAGCCTGATGTGTCACCTCGTGAGGTAGTAATGCACACTTGCCCCGCACTGTCCCGATAATGCACCTAGAGGGTATGTTTCAGGAAGGGGTATGAATTACTACCTCACGAGGTAATATCCGAGTTTTTAACGACCCTTGCAGGCTGAATTCATGATATATCTTGATACTTCTAGATGAAATACAAGTTCCTAAGACTTCTGGGGTGTTGAAAACGACATCTCGAGAGTTAAAGAGTGTCTTATAGAGTGATTGGCTGTAATGCCGAAGTATCAACAAAGCTGACTAAACCGGCCGGGTAAAAGTCAGGTGTTAAACGCGATCCGCTAGCCGTACTGAGTATTATTGAATTGATCTACCGTCCCACGTTCAACTTTCACCGGTCTGAGTCAACCTTCGTTAAAACACCATGGAGTTACAGGCATCAGGACATTTGGGCCCGTTCAATGAACCGGTCAGACATACTACCAGCCTCCTTTCACACACATGTACCATGAACGACCTTCCAATAGAGGTCAAGTGTATGATCGCGTTCCACCTCCGCAATTGCGACGCAAACCCTCATGGACCTCGCGATATCAAGCAGCTGCGTCTCATCAACAAAGCCTTTTCTGATGCAGGAGCCGAGTATCTCCTGCCAGAGATCCACCTCACGTTCCAGAGTCAAAGCTTCAAGCGACTGCGGACCATTTCCGAACACCCTATCTACAGCCAACACGTCGAGAGTCTCCGATATGATCCCAATACCTTTGGGGAGTACCATGAGAGCTACGAGCTTGGCTACGAGGGATGGGTGAAAGGTACTGACGAGATGTCTTTCATACGGGATTGCAGGCCATTTGGTGAAGTAGGGAAAGAAGATGAGGGCGACTGTCCACAGCTCGTCGACGGCAGTGAGCTGGAGGGACTCAAAGCGGAAATGTTAGAGAGGTACAAATCCTACCAGGCAGTCTGTTCAGATCAAATGTCGATTCGCTCGCAGGAAGATAAGTACAACTTCGGCCTGGTGGTGCAAGCTGTGGCTCGGCTGCCGAAGCTGGCAGAATTCAAGTTGAATTTCGAACCCGGAGCAGGCACGCGATCAAATGCCTTCAAGCGCGCGTATGCAGAGACTCTTTATATACCAAAAGGAGATCACGGCCACAGATGTCCTTATGGCTTGATGCAGCTTTGCTCAGTACTTGTCGGTGTTGCCTCCGCAGGAACCAAGCTCAAGTCCCTCGATTGTGGCAAGATAAGCTGGGAGTTCTTGAAACTACTAGAGGGGATATATATGAGGAGAATCGAACCCGCATTCAAGCACCTCGACTCCTTCCGCATCACACTCCACACGGGTCAGGGGTATCTTGATTACCGCGCTTTCCTATTTCAAGTCTATGACTGCTACCAATTCTCACGACAGCATCAGATGTGTGAGCTGCTCTCGGCTGCGAAGGATCTCAAGACTTTGAGTTTCTGTACGGAAGAAACCGACAGTATAGACCTTGACTTCATAGTTGGGACCACTACCTGGGCATCTCTGAGGATAGTTGAACTTGACACAATCACTACCGGCGAGGATCAATTGATCGAGTTCTTGAAGAGACATGGAGGGACACTGAAGGAGCTTGGACTGAACAACATTAAGCTCGCACCTGGCGACTGGACTTTGGCGCTGCCTCGGATACGGGACGCTGCGAAACTCGATGAGTTTCGCGCCGTTGGCTCTTGGTGGGCTGGCTCTATCTTTTCAGTCTTGGGTTATCAATGCTGGAATGTCGACACGTCCTGGGATTCAGCGAGATCCAATGAAACGACGTTGTCGCAACCTCACAAACTGGGCATAGCCGTCAACAGATATGTACTCAAAGGAGGGGATTGCCCACTGCTGGACACTACCACCTATCCAATGAGGTAACTTACCGTCGGGCGCGCTTCTCGGCTGGTTTTGTGATTGCGGTGCACAGAGAGCAATGCGAAAGGGATCGTTGGCGGGGAAGGTATCTGTGAACATCGGAGGCGCTCAATTTGCGCCCGCGTGCAGACCACACAGACAAGGACGCATAAGATGCAGATGCACTGCCACTAAAGATATCTGGTCCTTCCTTTCGAATCTCAGCATCTACCATGGAGAAGCATTGCAACTTTGAAGCTGCGAGCGGCAGCTACACATAATGACCGAATGCTCTTTTTTCTTGCTGAGGATAGCTCAATAGAAAAGGAGATTACCAACCACCTGGGCCACAATGTGACCTAACCAATCCCCCCTGCCACCGCCACCCCTCCCACCGAGACACTTTTAAGCACCCGCACAACGATTCCCTCTTTCCCTCGCCACATGGTACCCTATCCCTGACTAACCTCAAGCTCCCAGTAGAACCAAAAGCTCCACCAATTCCCAACTTTGTCGATCCCTATGAACGCGTGCGGTCCCTCCAGCCCATCCCGTTCCCCTTTGCCGTCAGCGAACCGGTTCCAAGATTCCTCCCTCATCTAGCCGTACTTTCCGTGCTAAATGCCATAAGGCTCACATCATCCACCCTGACCTTATCGTCCTAATCGTTATGCCGTGTTTGATCGATTCGCTTCAGAAGTGGAGAATGCGCATGCGCGGCATTCTTTGCTCGGAAAAAGGTATTTACATTCACAGTCAGAGTTTTATGCGCAGAATGCGTCCAACGTTTATAGCGGCGGCCTTGTGAGTGTTATTCTGACTCTTGGAATCTTGTTAGCAACTAGAATTCTCATAGGACTTATTCCGCGTACGTTTGAGTAATGATAACCAAAAACCAATGATCTGGGCAGCAGTTGCATCGCAGTTCCCTGGTTTACCACATTTATTCAAACCTTGATCATTGTTACATTCCTTCCAGCTCCCAATAAAGCATCGAAGAGTCCATAACAGCCATGTTTACAATCTTTCCCACTAATCGCATTGACTGCCAGGTCCTCATCTTCACAGACGACATCCGCAGTGTTCTTTTCTTCGCGCCGAATTCCCATGTATACTGCGAGAACCTGATTCTCCACGTTTTGTTCAACTCTAACGAGCGTCTCGGGGGCTGGATCAAATCTCGGGGCTCAAGATCGCGACCTTGACGATGCAACTGATGATCGCCTTTGGTCTTTGAAAATGCCACATTTCTACAGCTCACTATTCAAGATCAGGGACCGAAGATGAGCGCAGGCTTCAGGATGAAAGTAATATATGGGGTTATTGCCTTGAAAATGCTGCCGGTTCTTGGCTTGTATCGCTGGATCATGCGAAATCTATGAATCTCATGCTCCCAAGTAAGAACTGCAGGGTCATGAGATTGAGACTCGTAATGGCATCAACTATGGGCTCTCGATTATGAACCTGACCCTTCATGGAGGCAGCATTACTGTTACGAGTGGTAGTCGGTCAGAACTGGGGCCGAATCCTATGCATTTGATTGAGTAAGCCACATCAGTCTCCCATGATCGCGCGCTTTATGAACAATCTCCCGACAAGTATCGCAGCACAGGGTCATGCATGCCCCAACGATATTGCCGCGTTCCCGTACCACAAATCACACTGACCTACAAAACCCACACGGAGCAACGCAGTCTTCGCACCAGTGGCTCGATCCGGGCGCAACATGCCAGGTCCGCTCGACGTTCAGCCGGAACCCAAGAAGCTTCTTCTGCTCGCCCCAGCTCGATACCAACACGATGGCCCAGACAGAAGGGCGGCTGAGCGTGTATTCATACTGTCGATAGGCGCTTTCGCCCAGTTCGTTGTCTGGAATCTGCATCTCAAACGTGGTTTCGGCTTCACGGTAGGTGAAACCGAGCTCCATGATAGTGCCCCTTCGGCTTTCTCGAATCCCATACTAGGTTGCGCTTTCTTTAGCTTTGGTCATGGTTGCTGCCGCTGGGAGGTAAACACTTACGACTAGGCATTGCGAGAGTTCTGGTTGTCCTGAGAAGGTGCTTACGGTGACTCCGTAGCAGTGGTTGAACCTGGCAGCGTATGGCATATCGTCAATCAGGCTGGCTCCTTCGATTACTGTGAGCCTCCCTGTGGAGCTAATGCCTGAAATCCTGCACGGTGAGCCCTCTAGGCATATGATGTCGCCTTTGAGAACCTCAGATAGGTCTTTGGAGCCGTTGGGGGCTGGGTTGGTGGCGCGGATGTACTCCTCGAGCTGGGCTCTGTCAGTTTTGACTTCCGTGAGAGTTCTAACGAGAGTACTTTTGTGTACGTTGCCAACAGAGCAGGCGTCAGGCCTGGAAAGGCTGACGTTACGCTGACGGAGGGAACTCTCATTCTGAAGCTTTTGGCCGACAGCGTGAATCAGAGGGGGAACAAGGCGACAGAGAGTAGAATAAGCCTTCCGGTTATAACTCGTATAAAGACGAAAATGGCAATGGGACGCTTGCCGGAGGTGATTGGATGCGACGATATTGTACGAAAAAGTATCCTCGTCTTTCCAAATTTAGCTCGCCTGCGAGCGTTGCGAGCATCGGAATCATGTTGCTAAGATACCTTGCCATTCGACAGATACAGAATTTTACCACACACAACCGAGGCATTCAGCACTGGAGTTCCATCCATGTAGTCTTTCACACAAGGCCGCGCCTGCGTGTGAAGCCACAGCTATCGGTTCCAGAACTACATTTTGACACCTTTGAGGACTTGGAAGGAGTCTGTCGAGAACCATGTAAAGACTTTGTAAAGATGGCACAGACCAGCCTCCACATCGCCTCTCCACTCTCCATAATCGCGGTCCTCGCATCAGAGCCTAATCGAGAGTTCTGCCTAATGCCCAGTCAAAACGCGGTAAGCTTCTTCTCGACCCTTCAGCTTCATACCATTTTCTTCCGTCACCTGACTCCATCAGTCTCCTCAAACCCGCGTAATCAAGAACAGTCAGCGACCCACCAGCCGGATCCACCTCAGCGTGACATCCCACGCTTGAAGATCCCCCTAACCATTTGTCTGGAATCCTCGTGTCGAAAGAATGGTTCCTCGCGACCCCGAGGTTGGCGCTCCTGACTTTCCGGGGTTTCGCCGCTTCTGGATGTAAGACACTGCTTAGCGTGAGTACATGTATGATTATGTTGAAGGGAGGGAGAGAAAGGACGAGTAAATCGCTACGAAAGATATATCACACTTCTGTACTCCTAGTGAAATCTTTGATCGATGTCTCATCTATGTGCGAAGAAGCTTTAACCACGGAGGACCTTGTCAGTAGTGCTTGTTTCCTTCACTCGGGTGAAGGGGCAAGAATCCCGAACCCTCTGGTATCGGGTAATTCATTCGGATATGTGACATTACCGTTGTGTTGAAGTGACAGGAGGCGCTGCGCTTGTTTATGAAGCTGTCCTCATTTGTTCCCAATCAATAACAACGCAAGAGGCAGCTCCGATTTTGATGTCTAGTTATTGGAGGTATAAGCACCAATTGCTTTTCTCAGCTCGTTACCATTCCGGAATCTTCGTGCTTTGCAAATGTATCCCCCAGAAAAGGCGCATTGGCCACTACCCATCCCATAAGCGTGTTATGGGGTATACGTTCAACAATGGAATAAGACTAGGATGTCAATCAGCTTTAGCTGAAGGTGTTGGATTAGTACTAGGACGGGTTCGATAGTCCGAGATCCGTTTCTTGTCTTGCTAAAAGGCCACACATGCTTGCAGAACGCCGGGTCGAAGGACACCAGTAGGTTGAATCAGCAAGTACTGCCCCCCTGCTTGCCAATGTCTAATATTGATTCGATCCAGATGCTTTGCATATCAGAATTTGGACCATGATCTCAATCCTGATTTCTCGGCGGCGTTGGCGACTACGGATCTGGGATGGGGGACATTGGGGACGAAGATCTAGTTATGGGAGTGAATGGAGTGAGGCGTGGTTTCTAGTATCTCTCGAGGCTGTTATTGAACGAGGCTGGACGTTTCGAGTGTAGCTAGAGCAGAAAATAGACTCTGAATTATTGAGCTGTCCTGATTCAACTCCACAGATTCAAAGACGTCCCACGAGTTAAATCCTAAACCAACAAAGCCACACGGCCGCTTCCGCCGAGAAGAAAAGCTTGGTCAGGGAGAGAACTCGTCCCAGCTATGCCAACCGCTCCCAATCACCAATCCCGAACCCAATGACCTGAAACTTCCCCACAGCCTCCAGAATCAGCAGAGCTTCACCGCCCGTCAGCCATGGACTTTGAAGTTGGACGGAGCAATAGTCTTTCAACTTACTGATACCGATTCCAAGCCTGCCCTCATCGTCGTCGCACTGGGCGAAGAAAGCAGCCAGGTCCTCGCCGATCTTGCCTCCGGAGATATGGAGATCGGCCACGGTTCTCCGCGCGGGGCTGAGGTGCTGTTTCTGCAACGTCATAATCTCTCCGTCGAGACCGACCTGCGATTGATTATCAAAGGGGTCAGTGAAGATGTCCTTCTCACCACCGCGCAGAGTCATCAGGGTTGAAAGAGGATGCATACCACGGCATATCTCACGCGGGCGATGGGCACGAGCTTGAGCTTCTCGGTAGCTTTGACGACTAGCGGGTCCAATGCTCCCTTGTCGAACAACTCGATCATCTCGAGCGCGATTTTGTGTCGGGAGGCTAGGGGACCGGCTTGGGCCAAGCTGTCGGTTCTGCCTACGATCTCGCAGGGTTGGCCTCGGAAGAGGATGGCTTGGCCTACTGAGAGGTCCCTTGCGGCAGTCTCTGTTGGTGTGGTGGTGGGAGGTTGATTGTCCACGCGAGTCAAGTAGCCTCCTAACTCCAATGGTTTGTTCATCTCTTCTTCCTCCGTATCTTCTTCCTTCGTAGCTTGTTCGGCCATATCGTGTTTGTCCCTTTCGAGAGGGACCGAGTGCTGAGACATCTGGGTGTGGGTTTCGAAGTGTGTTGTACAACCGCGGCTCTGAGCAACACCTGTTGATGTGAAGAGGTCGGAGAACGATGCAGATTTTTGGGGGATGCGAAGGAGCAGAAAGAGAAGCCTAGAGTGAAGGAAGTTCTTGCAGTCACACAGCGTTCCCTGGTCTACATATCGTGAAGCAGCAACGAAAAGCAACGCCGGCGACAATAGCAAATGGAGGACGGGCACGCGGAACAGTGACGATGACACCTGAATGTTTAACCAGGAATCACCCGATTGGCCGCATCTCTATCATGCCACCAAGTAAGCTGAGAGGCAAAAGCTTGGCCTATTCCTCCCTAGCACAGCATCTCCCCATCCCGCAACCTACCCAAGCGATTCCCAGTCCCCAACACCGAACGCAACAAGTTTAAATCTGCCCATGACCTCATATATCAACACAGCTGTAACTCCCATTAGCTGCAAGGCATACGCTCTGCCACTTTGCAAAACTTACTAATGGGCATACGACACAATTTTGCAGCGTTGAAGAAGTAAAGAAGCGAAGGGCCCAGTCTGCCCCCAGGAAGCTTGAATACCCTCTCCGGATTGTCTCCGATCCGACCTTCCTGCTTCTGCAGGACCAGAGTGCCAGAAATGACCTCGGCGGGCGGAACAATTCGCTGCGGGGCCAGCTCGTTAGCATCAGAGCAGCAGCCTTCCACGGCAGTCCACGCTGGGAGCGAAAATCGTACCACGGAGTATCTAGTCTGCCAGGTCGCGACTATCGTAATCTCTTCGGTGTCGTCTGTAATGCAATCGGTCACCTCATCGGCGAAGATGTCATAGGCATGTATTGAAATCTCGCCGTCAGCATCTGGTAGACCCGGAGCGTTCAAGACTCTGTAAGGATTGCCATCACTGAGGATGACATCGCCCTCCTTGATGTCCTTTGCCCGTTTGGTCTTCGGCTCGAAGCAGAGTATGGCGGTCCGAGGAGGTCCATCTCCTTGGTAGAGAGTAAGCCAGGATCCGATGTCTAGCGGCTCTTCCTCATCTTCGGCGAAGGACGGCTCAGCCTTGGTGAGAAAAATGGTCGAGGAGCAAGGATCCATACGTCCGATGACGAAGCGCTCGGACATGGTGAAGGTGCGGTCTACAGTGCAGATAATGGGTACTCAAACGGGCTAAGGGGTAGGCGCGATGGTACATCAGCGAGGCAGATCTCTCAACAGCTCAGCAGTGATGAAAGGAGGCATAGTGATCTATGGAGGGCACCATGAAATATATAACTCCATGCTAAACGAATGCCTAGACTAAAAACGGGTGTTTGCATAAGAAGAGAGCGAGAGAAAGTGAGGTAGGATGGGTCAGGAAAAGCGGTCTCTCGGAGGAGCGAAGTTGCCTCAAAGCTTACCGACCTCCGCAGAACGCAGTACGAAAACGGTGCGGGCGGCGAGGGGATGCAACCGTCAATGGAAAACATGCGAAGATAGACCTATCAGATCATGCAAGTGATGGGGCCTCCATATGCAACTTATCGAATGACACTCAAATGGGAAAGTGCTGCGAGCGGTCATAACATGGCATCCATTTCAATGCGAATATCACCAGTCGCCGACGGAGCAACCTACGATTTGATATTTACCCAGAGCCTCGAATATCTTTAGAAATAGAATTCATTTTCAGCATTGATCGTAACCACATTAGCACGTAGTCGTGGGGTCAAACAGGAGTACTTCGCCGGGCTAGGTACGTACTGATTGGGTACCCCTGTCTTTCCGCAAGTCCAAAGAATGGGCGAGTGTAACGCCCATCCCGACTCCAATAACCTTGAACCTCACCTCCATACAGTCACTGGTAGTGCCTGAGGCGGTTCTATTTGTTTCGCGCTGCAGAATGTCGTGCTCAATATTAGCATGCAATCGATACCTAGTAGAACAGTTGACTAATTGAAGCGTACCACAAGATACTCCCAGTGCCTGCCTGGTCCCTACAAGGTCCACTATTTGTGCGGGCTCGAGGATCTTAAACTGTACAGTGGCGTTGCGCCAGATATCACGAGCGGTGACAGTGACCATGGGACTAGGGACATTGGTGCATAAGAACTCTAAAACCTTGCGAGGCCGCAATTCGAATACAATGACTTCGTCTTTTTCGATGCACTGTGCTAGTTTTCCATTTCGTGGATTTCTTGCCGTGCATGGCGGACAGATTTCGGTGTCGAGTTCGATGAACCCTCCAAGTTCGAGAACCATAACGGAGTCCGAGATGGTGGTTAGATGGACAAGCAGGTAAAATATGGAGAAATGTACCAGGGAGTGTCAAGAGGCAACCAAACGAAGCAAAAAAAAAGATATTGCAGAAATCAGTGACAGTCCCAGCTCTGGCCAATGAAGCAACAAAAAGGACTTGAGCGTGTGGTGGTCTATGAAAAGGAACTTCTGGAGAACCATCCTTGGGATCTTGCATCGCTTGATTCCACCCTTGATTGCTCCATTTCGGGCAAGTACCGGACAACAGCATCGACGAAAATCGCAACTGGTAATAGTGGCAGAACAAGGTAAACACGGAAAACGCGAATGAGACGAAAAGCAATTACCAGGAGCAATCTCAACTATAGCATCTCAGTTGTGCACCTGAAATGATGCGGAGCTATGCCAACTCTTTGGTAATGCTATATCTGGCACTTCATAAGCCTACGGCCTTGGTAAAAGGTCATGCCGTGTATCACAAGTAGGCGCCTGCTTTGCACGAAGACGCGCGTCAAATGGGTATCTCAAGGCTTCAACAGGGAGCCTGCTCAACTACGAATGTCGCCGGAGAAATATTTGTGTCAGCATGAGTGCGCTACGAACCTCACTGGAGAAAGGTCAGCAAGTGCGCAAGGCGACTGAGCCAAAGTACGCACCAGGAAGTAGTCAGCCACGGGCTTTTTTGCCGGCATTCCCCTTGGATCCTGCGGAGCAGCTTCGAAGACTCTATACCTTCTTCCAGGACCTGACCTAGGTGCTAGATTGGGCATGAACGCCTGAGCACTCCTTCCGGCGTCACCATTACTCCTCGCAATGACTCCGCCGTTGCTTGTATCCTCGCCCAGCTCCAGGATTGCCGCAACATTGCCACAACGATAGCAGTAATTTGGTGCTGACCAGACTGTAACTATACTTGAATCAAACATCTCTTTGAATCCTTCCATTACGAGTTGATGTGCTCTTGCTATCAAGGAGAGGTCGTTTAGATGGTTGAAGCGCTTGACGATCTCTGGTCCGAAGAGAAAGCCTGCCCCTCGTGGCGAGAGGCCCCAACTATCGATCTCATCCGGATCACTCCATAGAAGATCGCACATGGCACCTTCATGGGGGACTTCTTGCTTTCGATCCAAAAGCCTTATCTTGTCGACGCTATCGATCAATGGGCTGAGCCCCCCGTGCACGCAAAGCACTGCTCCTCCACTATGATGCGAGCCTCCACTGTCACTGGTAGCTCCAGTACCTGAAGGGCCTGTCTTCGAAGGCGTTCCAGGAGGAGAGGAGTTGAGACCATCACTTTCGAACAAGCGTCGTCTGCTCCTGGGAAATCTTGCCGTCACCTCGTTCCTGGAGTTCATGATCTCAATCTCCACATCATCGTCCACCGGCTCAATTGCTTGTGACTTGTCCGTAAATGATGGCTCCAGTGTTGAACTCGTACCTAGTACCAGCGCCCCTAAAGCCAGATAATCGAACACCTCACAGCAATATCTCCATACATTCGCACTCCCATACTTCCGTAGACATTCATCATAGAATCCATATACAGTCGTGATCTGCCGTGATTCGTGGTTCCCTCTTATCAGCGTTATCCGATCCGGATATCTGACCTTGAGACATAGTAATAGCAGGAAACTCTCGAGCGAGTAGAAGCCCCGGTCCACGAAGTCCCCCATGAAAAGGTAGTTGGTGTCTGGCACATCTCCTCCTACCCTGAACAGTTCCATCAGGTCATGGAACTGTCCGTGTATATCTCCGCATATCGTGACAGGTGCGTCGACCTGGACAACGTTGGCTTCTTCGATCAGCAGCTCGCGTGCTTTGTGGCAAATCTCGCGGACTTGGGGTTCGGGGATGATTTTGCAGGCGCGGAGTTCCGAAATGGCCCTGCATGCATCTATCAATAAGAGCGCCTGTGGGCTAGTAGGATGGGTGATCAGTACTTGTCTAGGTCACTCATCGTCACCCTTCTTGCCCGTGGCTAGACGCGACTACGAGGTCTCCCTCTCGTCAGCTGCTTGGATGTATGAAGGCGCTGTGCTGACAAATATTAAGACTGCTCCTCGGTTTGTATGACTAGTACACGGAATCCAGTCCAGACTTGCAAGGCGTTCGAGGCAGGGTAAGAGTGAGGAAATATCGACGGGGAAGAGTGGAGGGGACTGGCACGCGGTGAGAGAGGATGTTGATTCCGGCCGACCTTATCCAACTGTCACTTGGACATGATCGAAGCGAAATAGATGTATAGGCAATGTTAGACCAGTCAAGAGGTTCAAACATTGGTGCAGGAAGCACAATAGATGCAGCAGAGCTCCGCTAGCGCAATATATTGCCACATCCCTGTCGGTCTTGGCTCCAACGGAAGTCAAGGAAGCTTTCATCCCCTCAATCTCCATCAACACCTCCAAATCTGTGACAACTGGATCACAGACAGAGCGTATGCAAAGTTATCACCTTCCTCATTTGTAAATATCTGGTGGCCGGCTTCTCACAATGGCAACAGCATGAGCTCTCAGTCTCCGCTTTGAAACCCTTTTCCACTCCCTTAGCCATGACACCCCATCTCCACCCTCGGTCCCGCCTCACCACTTCCCTCTTCGGCACTACCCTCCTCATCTCCTTCCTAGTTGTCGGCATGCCACACATTATACCATGCCCGGCGCCCCGCGTCAAATTTGCAGATTCGGAATTTGAGGTTATGGAAGATGGGAGGCGGAGAAGGCGGCGGCGGAGTACAGACGCTCCAATCGACGGGAGCGCTGGGGCAGACAGAGAAAAGCAGATGCCTCTATACATTTCAGAAGAGGAGAAGGCCATAATGAGGAAGAAGGCACATGAATGTCCTGTTCCAAAGCCCCCTGGGATCATTGGAAGGGTTTTTGGCTATGACGGTGAAGATAGCGGAGAAGAACAGTCTAGGCCGCGAATAGTGACGCAAAAGACATCTGAAGTGCGAGAGGACGAACCGTGAAACATTTCCAGAACAATCAAGCCGAGAGTACGCCAACGGCGATAGTCTGGGGGGATGGACTAGGGTATGCATTACGAATTCGCAAGGACCAGAAGTTCAAGTAAGGACTTTATGTTCTATAAGCCTGTGGACACCGTGTCCTTAGCTTATTCAATGCTACAATTACGGCCGCCGGCCCTATATCAGGGTCACCAGGTCCACGTCCATAAGCCTTTGCCTGAGAGTCCTTGCAGCAGACTCACCGGCACCGGATAATAGTGCCAGTAACCTAGCTCCCGGAATGGGACAGCCAGAAGCGGTAGAGTCAGACACAGCCATGCAGCCGTCCAGGCTATCACTAGCGCCTTCGTCACTGACCAGTCCAATGCTTGCGGGATGAAGCGAGCAACGAGCTTCGACACCGCAAGCTCCAAACCAAAGGCTGGTATCTGAGCCCAAAAGAAGCCCGCAATATGCAATCTCATCCAGCGCGCAGACAAGAGACTCGTTTCCGGCTCTGGTGGAATCAGCCCCATATGCATGACACCCGAAAAGAAAAACGCCGATATCATTAACAGCGCAAACCCCGTTATCGACTTTGTTGGGATACCCAATGCCTGAGCCAACCATCGTCCTGGAGGCGCAGTAAACTGCCGATTTACACCATGCCACCAGTCACCCCATAAACCGCGAAGTCCCCTTTCCGGTATAGCTGAAAATCGGCCGAAGGGCAGTGGCCATGTGTGCGGACTCCACTCGTATGGCAAAATACCAACAGCATTCAGTCCTACCATTGGGATTAGGGGGACATAGAACATGCCGGTCACCATGGCATAGATTTGTCCTGCAAGAACACAGGATCTGAGAAACCGTGGAGGCAGCAGTCTTAACGTGACGAGCCAGGTTGCCATTTGCGCGTTTGGGGGAGGAAACGGCTGGCCGACTTCCATGCCAGACGTGGTGAAGTAAGGATCCGTCCAAGCGTAGAAAGCTGCGGCGTCTAGGATGAGATAGCTCTGGACAACGGTTTTTACTGCATGCCTCAGAAAGGCTGATCTGCTGAGCCTTGCTGGTGGCTGGGTTTTATCATGAGAAGGATCACCAATCTTCCATCCCGTTAGTCGCAGAGATACTAGCAGTGTGAAGACCCAAGGAATCCGCTTTGCCAATTTTTCGGGATACGCTTCTTCGACAACAATATCTTCTACCGTATCGCTCGGGCGGTTCTCACCGGAATCCGAAGGTGTGGAAATCCATATGCGCCTGTGTGTCTTGCGCGGATCTCGACATACCAGGAGGACGAAGCTCCAGAGGGCCAGGTCCACGGAGATGACATCGATGCCGGCGGCGTACCAGGAATGGATCTGGCAGGCAAATATGGCCGGCAGAAACAGGAAAGCCAGTTGACTCCGGGACAATACAGAAGGCGGTGTGAGTAAAGCTAGTGGGAGAAGCAGGAAGGGAACGAAGTAGCTGTAGCTGTTGGGCCCTGGGACGATATGATGGGTTAGGTGCTCATAGAACTCGGCGACCTCTGCCAAGGATTTCATGCTGGAACTCGGCCGCTGTGGGACAGGAAAATGCAAACCGAATCCCACGAACCCAACGATCCTCCAAGTGTCTAGCTGATGGTCGAAGGAATAGATAAAAAATAAATAAATAAATAGACGGTGTCAGATCAGATCTCAAGAAACTATCCTGAGGCGTTCATTCATGCATAGTGATGTCATGATGTCAAAAGAACGTACAGTAGTAGTCTCAGAAAGGCCCCACGCAGTGGGTCTGAGCAGGAAACCGTGCCAAGCCTCATTTTTTTGGTGGTTTGGCTGATATGAGATATTTACCCCTGGGTATATATCAGCATTAGTAAGTTCCGGGGTAGCTGTTACCCCGGAGCGAGCTACCCCGGAACTATTTTAAAGAAACTTAATAATCTATAACTTCGATATATTATTACTCGATAACCGAACTATCACTTTTTATAAAAATTTATAAATATATTCTTAATATATATAATAATAATATATCAAATTTTCTAAATGTGAAGTTCGAAGTCTTTAAAGTTATTAAGCTTTTTACTTTTTTTTCTAAAAATCTTAAAATAATTAAATAATTAAATAAATTAAAAAATAATATTAATAAAACTTTATAAAACTTTACTTATATCTATAAATTATAAAATATTAATTTTAAATTATAAATAATTAATAAATTAACTAAGATAATAGCTTAGATAAATATATTTTAAGTAAATATTTAGTAAATATTAATGTGTAAAATCTGGCCTAGAGAATTAGTATATATAATAGAATAAGATAGGGCTGAGCTTGAAAACCTTGAATTTATATGTGTAGTCAATTGTAAATTCAGGGTCACTACGCTCTTTGATTAGATCGGCTGAGTCATCGCGAGTAAATAAATTAGCGTCCGCAACTATCAAAAAAATAGGTATACGTCAACTATCGAAAAAATAGGTGTACGTTATTAACACATAGAATAACTTTTTCTTTTTCTATTAAAAATTTGAGATTTCTTTTTTCAATTATAGAATGAAATATAGGCTTTCATATAAAAAAAAGAATTTCTAAATTTAGTCTTATAATTATTAAAGCGCAAGGAATTCAAATATCACTCATCAAAGTTCGCTCGACAGCCGGACAGCTCTAATCAGATACACATTATTTGATATTAGAATATCATTTTTGTTTTCTATTGAAATTTTGAGATTATTTTTTTAAATTATGAAACGAAATGTGGGCTTTCAGATAAAGAAAAAACTCTTGAATTTAGTCTTATAATTATTAAAGCGTAAGGAATTCAAATATCGCTCACTAAAGATCGCTTACCTATTCACTCGATAGCCCTAATCAAAAAAATGATTATGAATTTAATTCATAGGCCTTTACTCGTTCTATAATAATATTCTTAAATAGACTTATAAATATAACGAATATTTTAAGAATATTTTTGGAATTTTCTCGGTACACGTTAAAGAATAAGAGGGGGGTTAAAAATATAGTTTTTAAAACTCTAATTTAAATCTTCTAAAAATAATTAATTAAGATATTTTATTAAAAATCGAAAAAAAAAATTCTGATTCTACGCTATTTAAATAGTTATTTTATAGAAAATTATTTTTTTATTAGAGTGCGTAGTAAAAAGTTATATATAAAAGAAACTACTTATTTTCTATTTCGGTCAATTTTGGTGAGGATCCCATACAAAATAACGGCCAATGTAGCGATTCCAGGGTTTCCTACTCAGACTCTAAGGGAGGGGTATGCCGTAATGAGCTTGCGATATGATTGGCCCCCGAAGCGAGGCACGAGTGTAGGGCTGGCCATAGGTACCCCGGCTAGCCGTGAGTCTGAATTACTGAGACTAGTACAGTAGGATCGGTCAACCACGGCTCCTTCTGCGCATGGCAGCATGCAGGCGTGACCTCCGGAGCATAAAGTGAAGTAAAGTAGCCATGATAATGAAACCAGATTCTTCCTCGAGCGGGATGGTTTTGACGATTGTATTGTACGCCATCTAAGTTACTGCAATTCCTGCGCACAGATCATGCGATGAGCGAATATCATCCTGATCGTACTATACGCCATGTAAGATAGTCATCGTTCATATCCTATCAACATTCTCTGCCTCACTGGCCCCCCAACCCCGTCATCCCTCCCAACGCACCACCCGCGCTCTTCGCCCCGCTCCCCAGCGCCCCGACGCCCCCTTTGACCGTGTCGGTCCCCCCGCTCGCGACCCCCTTGGCACCCTCCCCTACACTCCCTACGGTCCCCGTCACTCCATCCTTCACTCCCCCCGCCGCATCTGTCGCCCCCTCCGTATTCGCCTTTCCCACTCCTCCGACGACCTTGCCGCCCGTCTCGGACGCCGCGTCTTCCACCCCCCTCGCCGTCCCCTTCGTAGCGCCCACTGTGTCTTCAAGCCCTTTGTTCGCATCTTCCGTTGCGTCCGTCGTGCCGGTTGCGTTTCGGACTTGGCCCACCGCGTCCTTGGCGCCGGATTCGACATTGTCTTCCACGCCTCTATGTCCTTCTTTGACCTTGTCGGTGGTATCTGAAGCGGTTTGGCCCAGGGATCCGGCGGTCTCCTTGGCGGTGGCCGCGGTGCCGTCGGCTGTTTCTGATGCTTTATCGGCGGTCTCCTGCGTCGCGCCCTCGGCTTTGCTCTTGGCGATGACTTCCTGGTCTTTTTGCCTGGCTTCGCCTTTTGCTGTGGGGTCGCCTTCTTCCCCCTCGGCTTTGGCGGCGTTTTCGGAGCCGTGCAGGTAGGTGCCGGCCTTCTCTTCCACGGTTCCAATCTGTGCGCCCAGAAATCAATCAACCTGTTTTGTTGAAAACGGAAGGGGTGAGGGGATGGGGGTTGAGGACTGAAATGCGTACCACATTGCCTGCAGCATCATACACGGTTCTCAGCGCACTCCCCGCATAGTCATATGCCGAGCCCAAATATCCCTTTTCTTCTTCCTTCCCTCCTATTTTCTGAGCGACGGGTGTGTTGCCGACGCCTTCGACAACGCTGCCCACAACTGGGACGTAGCCGGTGACGTCTTTGGTTGCCGAGCTATCAGAGAATCAGGCATCAGCTTTTTTTCTGAAGAGAGAGTTTGACGTGGTAGGAGGGTGGAGGATGGAGGCGTACCCTGCGGCACCAAGGCCTTCTTGGGCTTTCCCTGCCCCACCGGATGCAGCGTCGGAGACTTGGCCCATGCCGGGGATGTAGGATTTAGCGGATGCGAGATAGCCTCTGCGGGAAAGATGTTAGGAACTCGTGGTGACTTTGTCTGTAGAGCATAGAGGATGAGGGGGAAGTAAACAGAGATGCCTACCCCGCGGAGCTTGCTCCTTCTTGTTCTTTGTCGGCCATGTCTTGTGCTCTGTCTTGTAGAATGATCTCTTATACAATATTCTGGCCGCTAAGGAGGAAGTGTGGATAGTAGGACGGTAAGTCGTTGATGGATGTGGTCGTTGAGAGTAGAGAATTCAGTAGGATTGTTTACGAAAAACTTGATCCTATCTTCAGCGTTGGTGGGGTTGCTCGATGACGCTGTGCTGCAGGCGCCTAGACCTAAAGTAAGGAGCCGTTCCAGGGCGCTTCTAGGGGGCAGATCTCCCGCGCGTTGCCCGTGGCGTCACCAGCGTTGTTTGGCTCTACTCTAAAGTACGTATTATTTTCATCATCTGCTTCTTTCAAAAGACAATATCACTCAGAGTTGGCCCATAATCACGCGCGTATCAATGTCTTCTCTATTATCTATACGATATTGAGTACTGGGTTCGGCTACGATGGCCGATACTCCGTGCAGAGGACAGTTGACTACAACATACTAGAGCCCCGACCGCCATTCTGTAATTGATCGTGTCGGCGATTTTTCGTCCAAAATGACATCATCTTACGATGTCGGCGATGTGTACCTGCGTATTAAGCTGACGAGCGACAACCCCCGGGTGTATTTCATGAAAGGCCGTTTCTGATCGTATACAATATGATAGAAGGTTGCAGCAGGATATATTCGCCAGCAAATCCATCCGAGAAGAGCACATAATCGTGCAGGCGAGAGATTCCGCATCGCTTTCCGCATCTTCTTGTCTTCTCAATTTTCACTTCTCCTTTGTACTAGCCCCACATCAGCTCACGGCTTCTTCTACTCTCAACATGAAAAGCTCCATATTGATTGGCGTTGCTATAACAGGCTGGATGAGAGCCTTACCCTCCGTAGCAGCCCAATGTTCTACCATCGAGGACGTTAGACTCACGTTCTACAGCCGGCCAGATAATGGTCCCCCTCCTGGACCGGACAATACCTTCGATTGCGGCCGCGGGAAAGGACTAGATGGCAAACCTATCGCGGGAGGTAAGTCCGCTGTCGTGTTAACCACATCTTCTGAACTCTCATCCATAATCAATGGATTGGCACGTACGCAGATCCTATTACTTTCGCAACGGCCACCGACAACAACAACCTCCCACGATGTGGCATTGTCTACGTTCCGCTTCTACGCAAGTACTTCCGCAATGAAGACGACTGCGCAGATTGCAGTAAGTAATGATCCTCCATCAATGGAACCCCCCAATCCTTATCACTTACATCCTCTGCGGCCATGGTACTTCTATAGAGTGCTGATTACTATGAGGTACTTAGAGACGGATTGGGACAATCACAAACTCTATCATATAGATCTATGGACTAGCTTGAACCAAGAGTCCCGAGGAAATCATCAAATCAGCTGTGAGAACAACCTTCCTGAAGGATCGCAGACCATCATCAAGAATCCTCCAGGCAACCTAGCCGTTGATAGTATGCTCTCGCCACCCGCGGAATACTCCTTGCTCCCTTACGCTGATCCGCTTCACTAACAGCGACAACTGTGTACGATGTATCATCTCACATTTGCCATACGACAGCATACTCCATGCGGGATGCGTCCAATTTGTGTTCAGGAGGTGGTGGTGGTGGTGGTGGAGGGTCCCCACCTTCCTGCACATGGCCCGGGCATTGTCTTAGTATTCGTTCTACTCTTGAGTGCCTTGAGTACAGAGTGACTAATCTTGCTGTGTACGTGACCCCTGCCAGACGTTCAATGACTGCGATGGAACTAATCTCTGTGGTATGAACGGCGTTTGCGTTCCGTCGTCATCAGCCGAAGCGTTGGTGCGCTTTTTGCAGCAAGACTCAGCCCCATGATTGTCCTACTACAGACAAGACATCGATAAGGTGGTGAGATGCACGGAGATAGCTTCCAAATCAGCGCCACGCCGTCATCGTGGTGTTCCGATCAAGGTATAGTCCGAAAAAATGAATATACCGGCGGTACAAAGCCCTGATGTGGATGGCAATGCTCATCTTGGGCTTGAAAGCCTTGACCGGCCTTAGCATTGTCATCTTTTAGCATTGCCGTTCGTCCGAGATGTGTGGGCGATTTAAGCATCTAGAACATGCAAGCTGACGAGATCCTGTCGCAGTGGAAAACGGTCGTAGAGTCAAGTTCGAGTCCATCTGACCTGAGGCGAACTGTCAATCTTACAAGACCTTATGAACCTTATGGCTGTACCGTACAGCTGAGCTGTCGTTGGTGGGATTTTTGATTTTGTCCAAGCACGAGGTAAGCTTGAACGGCCGTTTTGCCAAAGCTATGATGCTGTGGCGATGCCAAACACCTATCCTCCGTGCGGGGAACTACACAGATAATCAGGGTTAGCGTGGTGATGACCTGCCAGGGGCGACCTGCTACCTCGCATGTCAAATCCAACAAATGCCATGATCCAAAGTAGGTAATGTTGTACATATGCGGAAAAGGTAAATTTCGCAAAGATAAGGCAAGGGGGGGCCGCCCTCCCGGAATTCCACGAGAAGCAGGAACGCGATGCGGGCACACCCATCCAAAACAGAGTGGCAAAAAACCTCCGCAGACCGATAAAGATAGTTGACAGGCAGCCGTAACCCAATATGGAAGATCGAAGCGACTTTACTAAGAGGATGGGGCCCTTTTGGCGTTCCTTAGGCCATTCGCCTTATCGAAATAGGAAAGTCTCCGGCTCAATTGATCAAAAGTGGGGAGCGAAACCCCATAGCCGTTTGACATGGAGGGTGTGTGTGGGGGTGGGAAATGCAGCGGAGATGGATGCCGAACCTATCAAGAACACGGGATTGGCAAAGGTACCGCGGCGCCTCCATGTTGCAATCGCCCCGATCCCGAAGCTGATATTTGAACCTTCTCAAATGAGCCTTGATGGTGCAAAATTAGCTAACTCCTTGAGGCATAGTGATATATACACATTCAGCGGTAGATGAGTCCTTACTCGGAATTAGTCTGTGTAGCGTGTTCGATATCAGTGCCGGCCACACCAGCCTATCTTTCACCCAGGATATCGATCGTATCAGACATGGAGGACTTGATATCCATCCGTCATTTCTCCTCGGTGTTGCAGCAAATGTCTTAAGGTTTTTTAGGGGGGGTGAATTTCTTATTCTCGTTTAGTATTCAGAACATGTTGCGATATCGCCTCGAGACCGTCAGCAAAAGAAAGAATGTCACAGGGAAAGGCGTCAAGTCAGGAGCGATCCCTTCCACTTTGGTGCCTTCGATTTCTTCCAGCCATTCATGCGGACCTCCTTCGCTGCTACGTCGGGATTTGTTTGGCCTGCCTATATAAGACCGTCGGTCTATCCCCAAGAATCCGTCCGTACGAAGGCCTCGCTTCATCGAAACACAAATTGAGCTACCGACAATCGAAACCCATCCTGCTGCAGTCAGAATGTCTCCCTTCTATTCCATTCTTTCCGTCTGGAAGCCTCTCACCACCACCACCCTCCTCACCCTCTCTACCCTCTTCACTGCACCTCTTGTCACTGCAAACCCAACCTGCACCAACCTCCGCATTCCCCTCACCGCTACCGCCTCCAACGAAGTCTTTCCCATTCCCGTAGGCCTCAACTACAGCAACCCCGCCGCCGTCTCGGCCTTTGTTCAAACCGTCCTTGGCGACGCAGGCACAGCATACCCTCTCATCCCAACAACCTTCACCGGCATCGTTGCAGCGCGCTATTGCGAGCCCGAGGTCACGATTGCGAATCGCAGTGATGTGGTTCAGCTTTTCATGTCTGGCGTTACGGAAAACAATCTTTATTGGTTTGGATTAGGGTATCCGAACGGATACGATGGTAATGAGTACTCGACAGTGGATTATGCGTCGAAGCAGGGCTATCCGACGCTAGCGATTGATAGAATCGGGGTGGGAAACTCGACACATCCGGACCCGATTCTGCAGCAGCAGGTCAATCTCGAAGAAGCGGTCTCACACCAGCTCGTCACCATGCTGAAAGCCGGCACAGCGGTACCTGGTATGTGCCATCATCCTCTATTCCCTCATCCTACCTCTCAAATGCTACAACATATCTTGTGGACGCGAATCGGATTGACTTACTAACCTGTCACCAGGCAAGACATTCAACCGCATCATCTTCGTCGGCCACTCCTACGGCTCCGTCCTCGGCAACGCCCAAGCCACCAACCACCCAGGCGACATCTCCGCCTTCATCCTCACGGGCTTCGGCGTCTCCATCATCCCCGTCGCCGCCGACCTCCCGCAAACGGTCCCCTTCCCCGCCACCCTCTACGCCCCCCGCTTCGCCGGCTTCGCGCCCGGCTACCTCGTCACCTCGTCCGAAGCCGGCCGCCGCGCCTACCTGTGGGGCAAACCGGGCTCGTTCGACGAGGGCATCTTCGAAAAGGACTACGACGACGAAGACGTCGTGGGGCTGGGCGAGCTGCTGAGCATCGACGGCGGGCTGAAAGAAGCGCCCGCGTCGACGGCGCCGGTGTACATCATCACGGGCGACAGCGACGACGTCTTCTGCCTGGCCGCGACCTGCGGTGACGGGCCGAGCAGTCCGCAGGCGCAGGCTTGTGCTTTGTTCCCCAAGGCGGAGACCTGTGAGTATTTCATCCCCGTGGGCACGGGGCATATGATCAGTTTGCATTATTCGGCGCAGACGAGCTTTCAGAAGTATCATGCCTTTTTGGCGTCGGTGGGCTTTTGAGGTAAGACATTCGGACGACGGGACAGGGGGATGATTCTGCTGGTATAACGGGTTGATGTGTTTGAAAATTGTAAGATTTGATGTCAGTCAATTATGTAGTCATAGGGTTGGAGGCGAATAATATCGGTGGAATGCGTTCTGCATCATTACTTTCTGACATAATTCAAGTTGTCATCATCGTCGGACATGAATTAATAAAGTTACTTTCCTTTCCTGCTCGCGTGATAATGATAACAGCAAGAGTCACAAGAGCGAATACGGGCGAAAATGTGTAATCATACATTATACCTCGAAAGGGGAAAGCGGCAAGTTGGCAGAGTTGGGAGTTGGAGATGGAGAACCCTGTCGATCTGATGACGATGACGTGCATCGCATGATCCCATTTGCCTCGGCGATAAATCCATCAGCTGATCTATGAATAGATTTCATCAGATTCGTGTTTGAAGAGATACTTTAGAATCCTTCTATATAATATAAACCATCGTTCATCCATCACCTACATTGTACATCTTTTGTCAATACTAATAATACTACTAATCCTACCACTACCATCTCCAACATGGCAGCAAACGACTACTACGCCGGAGCGCAGAACTTCCCACCCCACCCTCAAGGCAACCAAGCCCCACCACCTCCATACAATGCCAACTACGGGCAAGCTCAGCAACCTCCGCCGCGACCTTCGCCCCAGCCAGAGAGCAAGAGGGATTACTATCCACCAGTACCACCACAGCCCGGGGCGCCATGGCAGCAGGCGTACAACAGCCATCATCATCCAAGCCAGCATTACTATGGCAGTTCGCATTCGTACCCACCTCAGGTTTGTCCTCCCGCTCCACTGCAAAGCCTAAGAATACGTACGCAAAGCTGACAAGTGTCGCCTGACTCCCAGCAACAACAACAACAACCCCATTCCCAAAACTACCCCTACTCCCAACCACCTCCCCCACAAACCAACGGCTACCACCCCCAACAACCGAACGGCTACCCCCCACCACAAAACGGCTACCCACCCCAACAACAACAACAACCGCAAAGTTCCCACCCCGACGACCACCCCCACAAACACCACCACCACCACCGTCAACACGAGAAGAAAGCATCGCACGAGTCCCGCGACAGCTTCCTCGGCGCCGGCGCCGGCGGCATCATCGGCGACGTGTTGCTAGGGCCCGGCGTCGGGACGCTGGGCGGCGCGGTCATTGGCGCGCTGAGCGGGAACGCGCATGCGAAGAAGCAGAAGCAGAAGAGTCGGAGTCGGAGTCGGGATAGCCGGACGAGGAGGAGGAGGAGTCGAAGCGGGAGTCGGGATGATGGGTACTGAGTGAGTGTATGTGAGTTTGTTGAGAAGGGAGGAAGATTGGTGGGGAGGCGGGGGGGAGGAATTGACTCCTTGTGGCGCTGGTCGTGAGGGAGGTGTTCTACGTGTGTACGATTGGTGTTGAGAGATTCTATACGTACGTGTTGGCTCATGTTCTCATGATCATGATCCTGTTCTTGTGTAACCAGTCTCGATACCCATTCTCCTCTTCCTCAGTACCAATTCATACAACGCATACACCAACTTCCCCCCTTATCCCACTCTCATCTACATCACCTACATGCACACCGCACATCGCTTCAACACCCCACCTCAATACGTTCCGCCATAATGAATACGTTATCCCTGGCAGATCCCCTCCACCACCATTGTTTGTTCCTAGCCCGGAGACACCACTGATCCCGCCGGCATGGATCCCGAAGACATGTAGGATTTTACAATTCGTTGTGGGCAGTGTTTGCAAAGTTGTGATCCGCCGCGCCGGCCGATGGTGCCGAACGATGGGAGGAGCCATCACCTGCCGCTAGTTGTGCACTCACCATGGCCCGCTCCTGCTCGCCCAGGTCCGGAGGTGATGTAGAGTACCGCTCGGCAAAGGTCCGTTTTGGATCATCTGCGGTATTGGCCAACTGGTCACCTGCCGTGGTTGAAGGGTTCGAAGTCCCTGCACCTGCCCGTGGGGTCCGAAGACGAGGGGTAAGTACCGGCGACAAACTGCGCGCTTATCATTGTCTGCTCTTGTGCAGCCTGATCTGGCGGTGGTGGGCCGGTTGGGAAAGGGATCGTTCGGGTTATCCGCCGTGTTGGCATCTCTTCCATTGTTTGACGCAGTTGATTCGGTGAAATAACCATTTGCTGCCAATTGGGCGCTTATCGTTGACTGCTCTTGAGCAGCCTGATCTGATGGTGGTGAACCGGTCGGCAAGGGCCGTTCGTTTGGATTATCGAGAAAGGCCGACGCATCGACTGCTGCTCCTCCAGCATCCCCATTGGCTCTTGCGTCCTGGGATAGGATACAGATTGTTAGAAGAGCGAAGACCATGAAGGTCGCAAAGCGGCACTACTAATTTGAAGTCAGTGTTGCTGTGGAGAAGCGTCTTGAGCTCTGGTGAATTCACGCTGGAGAGTGTAAGATGGACCGCAGAGAAATGAGAGGTGGTTATGACTTTGAGCCATATGTAGTCTCGCCAGAATCCTGGAATAATTTGATAGCGTGGGTCTCATAATGATGAGCTCTACAACAAGTTGACTCTGTGTACGACGTGATGATAAAACACCGTCTCGGTATGTTGGAGAGTGGGAAATGAGACATGGGAGTGCACATCTACCTTAGCATCGATATTCCGGTATTAGATACTTACATCTTACCCAATGACGTAGTCTGTCGAGGGAATATCAGTCTCGAGTTCTATATCGAGAACGGCGGGAAGTCGCGAGAGCGAAGGACGTCGATCCATTACCTACTAAGATCGGCGCATCTACCTGGTCCTTACTCCGGTCATCAACTTGGCTCTTTTATTTTGAGAGTTTGAAGATAGGAAAATGGCAGGTCGCCATCAAAGTCGCCTCAGTGTGGTGGAGCGAGAGTAGGAAATGGAGATTCCATCCAAAGCAAACGCTAATCTTAGGCCAAATCGAAATATAAATATCCTTTCGCGCGATATTCTATAAGTCACAACTCTATTTGTTGGAGATACTAATCGGCATCCTCAGCTCGAATTTTTTGAAGGAAGGCAACACTGCACATTGTTAGCTAGTCACGACATGGCATATACCGCTTAGGATCATTTCCCATTTTGTCCTCAAGTCTCTGACGATAGGACATAGCCCCCTACAATATGAGATGCTCTTAAAACAACATCACTAACTGAAAATGCTCTTTTGTTTTTATTCTGAGAAGCGACTTCGTAGCTGAGCCTCCCACAGCATAAGATATTCTCGACATTGCACCGGCAATCCGAGACTTCTCGCCGCTCGTCGTTTCGTCCTAAACTTCCGTCGTCCAAGCAGGATCTCTTATAGAACAATATCACTATACACAGTCCTATACTTTATACATCAAGTATTTAAACAGGCGCGATGGCTACTGATGTTTCTTCGTTGTCTGTTGTTCGTCTCAGTACACCTTCTCTCTCCGCACACCTCATTAGTCGCCTGTTTCGTCACTCTGCCGATATATATTATGCGCTTGCCATCAATCTGTCCCATGCCTTGTTCCTTATGGTTCACGCCCTTGCGTATATGAGGAAAGCGTGGCGAACGACCACCAAAGGCGGAGGACAAAGCTGCATAGGTAACTGTGCTGTCCTTTTATTTCTAACGCCATAACTGTTACCGCTGCCTACTTAAGGGGCCCCACCCCCAGCCCAAACCCCCTTAAAATTTTCCAAATCATTTTGAGGACCAGTAGCACCAGCCTGTGTCGTCCATTTCTTGAATAATTCTCTCCTTTACTTTCAACTCCTTTTCTTCTTAGGTCACCTCGTGCCTCTCTTGATTCCTGGCTACACTAACCTTAACGATAATCATGGATGATCCCAAGGTTTCCCCATCGCAAATGATGGACAGAGTCGATGAGGCTGCGGCTGCTGTGTCTTCTGCCGAAGGGGAGAAGTCTTCTCTTGGTGGTGAAGTTTTCGAGGGCGTGGACCCTGCCGGCAACTCCGGGCTTGTGGTATGGCTCCAACCTATCAATTTTCAGCCCAGCTGCATTGACGCTTCTGTTAGAAACATCCTTTCAACTTCAATGAGGTGCCCAGCCCGGTTTTCCAAGATCAAGGCTCGTCCTCCACTACGAAGCTCAAGGCCAAGGACAAGGCCAAGGACAAGGTCAAGACGAAGGACAAGACCAATTCGAACGTCATTCCCAAGAAGAATAGGAGGGGAAGAGCGCACAGCACTGAGGACGAGGACACGGATTCTGAGATGTCGTCCGATAAAAACAAGACCAAGTCCAAGGCCAGCTCGAAGAAGGCTGGGAAGAAGAGAGCACGTACCCCTGAGGATGAGGGGTTGGATCCTGAGATGGCGTCCGGGATAGGCTCTGCGAAAAAGAAGCGCGAGGTAACGGGTGTTGCTGAATCGCCATCCTCTGGCATGATGAAGTACGATATGGCCAACTACCAACTGTACAATCCAGCAGTGAAAAATCGCGGCATCCACGTGGACGAACCGCACCACTTTCGCGAAGTACGACTCCTATACCCTGTTCATGGTCCCTGGTAATAAATCCATCGACAAAATCCCTGCGAAAGGTGTACGCCTGGATGACCTGAATGTTGCTATTGTTATTGAATCTGGAGAGCTGGCCAGGAAGCAACGGAACGAGAATTGGAAGGCTGAATTCGATATAAAGGGGATGGTCCGTGGGTTACGTGTTCCTCTTGGACATGCTGCCAAAGAATTCAAGAAGAAGGGAGACGTGGACATCGATGGAAATGTGCTTGAGGATGCTGACGAAGGCTGATACCATCTATGGTACAAAGGCCTGCATCTCCTGTGTGGACAAGAGGGCTCGGTCGGCAAGATTTACTTGAAGCGTCCCTCCTTCGAAACGGATCGCTGTAAGGGATTGACCTTCAAGAAATCCCATAAAGCAATTGTTCAACTCCCACCGGGACACCCTGACGAACCCACCTTCCCTGACCTACCGGCCTTTACGAAACTACCTCGTGAGTTGACGGACTTGACTCAGGCTACATCTTCCAACCCCTCCTCCACTCCCGCCAAGGGCGACCCTGCCGCGTCGGGTCATGATAGGGACTAGGGCCTCTATATCGGCCTCCAAGCCCAGGAAGAGCACCAGAAGAGGTAGCTTTCCATAGCAGGCGGATGTGATGCATCTCAGTAGACAAGTGCAATCATCATATCAGCCACAATACTACCGTATGTCATGATGTGAATATGTGATTCGTCGCGGCATCCAATCAGAGTAAACATCAGCATAAAAGCTCGAGTGAACAAGACCACTAAGCTCACAAAGTTGGTGTATAACGCTAAAGGTGTCACGTAGAAGTGCTAACTCGAAGGGGTTTAACAAACAGAAAGCTAGCCCGAAGGGGCTTAGCAAGCTTAGCGCTTCGAGCGACTGAGGCAAGGACCCAACGCTACAATGTTCCCAGCAACTCTATCCGAAGGTGGTGATTGGGAACCATAGATGAGCTATAGCCTGACTGCGAAGCGAAAGAGTCACTGGGCGTAAGCGGTTTGATCTCAATCTTCCCAAAAACTAGCTGTTGGCTGCAGATCTCAGGGAAGCGTTGCATATATCAACCCCTGAATCCCCCAAAGATATTCTCCATCTCTTTCCTTACTTCTGAGCCAGAATCCACTCCTCACCCTCATATACGGAGAATCTTTTCAAAGCCCCCATGGCATCAGCAACGCCCTTCACGGTAGCTGTGCCGAACGATCGACTGGAGAGATTACGCGTGAAGTTGGAATTGACAGAGTTTCCGGATGAATTGGATGATGCCGGATGGGACTATGGAGCTCCGCTGGCTGATGTGAAGCGGCTGACTGCATACTGGAAGGATGGATTCGACTGGAAGCATCAGGAGGCGGATATTAACAAACTGCCCCAGTTCCAGACCCAGATCAAAGTCGATGGATATGAGGCTCTGAGAATTCATTTCGTTCATCAGAAAAGCGAGAGTTCCAAGGCTATACCACTGCTTTTCGTACACGGATGTATGTCCTTCAATGCGACTAGAGTAAGACGCAGGATTTTTGACACGGTGCAGGGCCTGGTAGTTTCTTGGAAGTCGTGAAGCTACTGCCACTACTCGCAAAGCAAGACGGAGGCAAACTTCCAGCTTTTCATGTCGTTGCGCCATCTTTGCCCAACTTTGGCTTCTCCGATGGCGTCAAAAAGCGCGGCTTCGCTTTGAAGCAGTATGCTGAGACTTGCCACAAGCTGATGCTTCAACTTGGCTATGATCAATACGGTAATCTCGTTTGCAGTATGAGCGAGATTAGACTAACAATTCTTAGTAACTCAAGGAGGTGATTGGGGCAGTCACATTACTCGTGTAATTGGCCTCCAGTATCCGCAACACTGCAAAGGTCAGCTTTCAAACACTCGGTATCCGCGCCTTTGAGAGCACGCTGACAAAAAAAACAGCCAGTCATATCAATTATGTCAGACCCGCACATGCTCCGACATTCACTAGCTCTCCAGCGCTGGCATTGCAACATGCTGTGACACCCTACAGCGACTATGAAAAGGCAGGCTTGGCACGCACACAGTGGTTCGAGAAAGAAGGATGCGGTTACAACGAGATACAACGTACTAAACCCCAAACCCTTGGCTATGGTTTGGCCGACAGCCCAGTTGCACTACTTGCCTGGATCTACGAGAAACTCCATGACTGGACCGACCATTACCCCTGGACTGACGATGAGATCCTGACTTGGGTCTCGATATACTGGTTCTCGACCGCTGGGCCAGCTGCTAGCACGAGGATCTACTATGAAGTGGGACATGCGACTGGATCTGATCGCTCTGCGATCGGGGAGTACATTCCGCACGTCAAACTCGGGCTGGCATACTATCCGAAGGATCTCGATATCCCTCCGAAAAGCTGGGGTAGGATCCTTGGACCTGTTGTGTTTGAGTGCCAACATCCGGACGGTGGACATTTCGCTGCTCATGAGCGGCCTGAGGCTATGGTCCATGATCTGAATGAGATGTTTGGCAAGGGTGGAGGAGCTTATGGGGTGATCAAGGGTGAAGCGGGCTACAATTGAACCGCTATTAGAATACAACCTGACGCAAGCATACCAAGTATCACGCGACATCTATATACCGCACGATGGCATAGATGACGCGTAGGCTTTGACTTTCAGACACCCCAGGCCTAGACCAAATCTGAGGCCAGGTCTCTCGCTTGTTGCGTCGGGATTAAGGTAGGTAAAGTCGACGATCCTAGTAACTCCTCGGCCTTAATTAACCTCGGATTTCATCCTTTCTCTTCAATCTCACTCACCCACCTATCATGATCATGTCATGCTGTGGCTTAGAAAAGCAAAGGATTATTTCTTCTACGTAGAATAATATGGCAGACCCAGGGAACGGTGCGGAGCGCAGCCTTCTCGCACATATCCTTTCTGCATCCGCCTTTATGGATTGTGGAGGAGAAGAAGAAGAGGGAGAAGAAGAAGGAGAAGGAGAAGAAGGAGAAGAAGGAGAGGAGAAGAAGAAGAGGGAGAAGAAGAAGGAGAAGAAAAAAGAACAAAAACCCCCCTTCCCAGAACAGTCGCAAAAACTGAGCACTCTACTACGCCAAGCAACCAAAACCCCCCCCTCCATCCGCAATCCGTCCGCTTGAAACCCGTCCGTCCATCACGAACCGACCGCAACGTGAATACCCGACGAACCGAACCGCACCCTCAAGACTGACCGATCCAACCTCGAAGGACATGGCAAATGATCGCCCGACGCGAACTCGGCCCCGAGGGTCCGGACCGGGATGAGCAACGCACGACACACCGCTCGGATTGCGCCTACCGTGTCCGCTGAACGCCGGGTTGCGAAGGGGAAAAAAAAAAAGCCGTTGGATGATCTCAGGCAGTATTACACGGAATCACGAGTGCGATTGAAAGGATGCGGATCTCGCGCGGGAAATGCTTTTCCCTTTTTTTTTATATATATTAACGATGGAGATCTATACAAGGTGAAGAGCCGGGTGTGAAACACTGTGGAGAGAATGTTGTCGTTCCCGTGACCGGCAACGGAAAGCCGGAGAAAAAAAAAACTGTATAATATAGGCATGGCCCGCGCACGCCACACGGACCGCGTCCAGCTCCCGGCAACCCCTCCGCCGCAGATTCCCCAGCGCAGGCCGCACGCACGCATGCATGCAGGCGTTGCCCACCGCTCCTCAGTAAAAGGTGATGATGAGGCAATTGTTGGACGAGATGGCCTGATTCGTGCCGCTCCCGCCGATGAGATACTCGTAAGCCTGCGCGAGCTGCTGCTGCTCAAACGTCTGCACGGGGACCTTTGACGAAATGTCCAGCACGTCCGTCGCGCTGGTCAAGGGGCCGCCGATGTCCTCGTAGGTCCCCGGGACGTAGTACGCGTCGGCGGGGGCGCACTTGGGGCCGGTGCAGCGTTGGTTGACGTTCGTCGTGAAGCCCCAGACGGTCTGGTCGTCGCCGGCGCCGGTGGCTTGGACCGTGGCGGCACCGTCGCATCCGATTTCGAGACTGACGTCCCCGTCGGATCCGCCCGGGACCATGTTGAGCTCGACCCAGGTGGCGGGGAGGACGGCGCCGCGTTGGACGTGCCCGACGAAATTGGGCAGGAGTGTGACGACCTGGGAGCCTTGGGCGCCGAGGGTGACGGTTTGGACGGGATCAGAGACGATGGACCATTTCCCACTGAAGACGGTGAAGGTTTGGGGGTAGGAGGCTTTGTTCTTGAGGACGAAGCCGGTGCCTCCGCATGGGTTTGTGTCTCGGGGTTCGAAGAGGGATTTGAGGGAGCGGGGCAGCCATGGACTGGAGTGCTCGGCCGGGGTGGGGACGGCGAGGGCTGGAGCAACGACGGAGGAAAGGGCGAAGCAGAGGGAGAGGAGTGATCGCAGCGTTCCAGACGCTTGGGGCGACATAATGACGGACGTTCTTTGGCAAGCAAAGATCCAAGAAAGAGCGGATTTCCGGAAAGAAAGACTGTACGAGTATGCAGCGAGTAATGCGAACAGGAAGACTTGGGGTAGAGACAGTGGTACTTATGAGCGACTGGGGGAGAGGAGCACGGCACGCGCCAACATGATTCTAGGGCCATCGCCATTATCAAATTCTTTGTTGGACACAAAGGGGTTGTGGCACCTCGCAAGGTGCCATATAGGCTGAGTTTCGGAAATATGTTGGTTGGGGTGCTCGATCATTTTTTCGAACGTCAAGGCAGCTGAAAGCAACAACACGAACCTTGGAGATGCTCTGAAATGTTTGCTGCGGTGAAAATCCATGATACAGCTGTTCCTGCCATTATCCTTGCGACACTCACGATGAGTCTGTAGATTCGATTGACAGCAGCATCGCTGCAGATGCGGCCTGAAGTAGTGCAGCTGCAGCCATGACCAGCCTAGTCATGGGCCCCTGAGGTGAGGGTTACAACGTCCTCGTGTTGAAAAAAATTCAAAATCGATGAAGAGTGAAAAGCCAAAGGTCTCTTTGAGACGATGGAGTGTGTCAGGTGTGGTAGCCGAAACGCTCGGAAGTTGTCGCGCCGCGCGCTAAGCTAGCCAAGTCTGCTCATTGGACCAATCACGGAACACCACACCGAACGCGTGTGTTTGCTGATTTTGTTTGGAAGATTTTCTCTTCGGGGCACGAGCAGCGAAGCCACTTCCTGGCGTGGCAGCTCCTACTCATGGAGCGATACTACACTCAATCTAGTCGACATTTTCTCGGTGTTCAGTCCCATCTTGTACCAGCCTTGGTTGCCTGAGTGTTGCAAAAGTCGACGGCCGAGTACCCAACAATCGAAATTGCATTTGCATGGAAGAGGGTTAGTAGTCCGTCTACTGCCGTAATGTTGTGTGCTGGAGCGCGGGGCTACTCGTACCTAGTAGTGGAAAGCTTGTCGACGCCGTGGGAAGACCACTCACAACACCGTATTTGATTCACACCCGAGATCACTCTGATCCTTCGCAGACTCTCCAAGAGCTCTCGAGTAATTAGAGTGATTTGAAATACGTAGTAGTACTTACTGTATTGGAGTGATTCTTAGGGGGAGATCCCCTTAACCACCCTTTCTCTGGGGGCTCTCCGAGGGCCCTTCGGGAGCTTCTGTCGGAGGGGCTCTTCTCGTAAACTCAATAGCTCACATATATCTCAGTTTTTTATATATATCTTTTCGAATACTTGATCAAATTTCAGCTACGCGGTATTATTTGAAAGCGTATAAATAACTCTATAATTTTATCGAGTTTCTTTATCATGGTATTATAGAGGAAAGAAAAGAACTTAAAGAAAGTAGATCTCGAGGATTTAATATTCTTTTCACAGCTTCGTATTTTAAAATGAATATAAAGGAATAAGGTAAATTTTAGCGCTGGGAAGAAAACATCTAAAGATTTGATTGGTCACTAAGGCTTTAGCGTAGCACCCATTCTCATTTTCATCGAACGACGATGAGTTGGTAATGTTTGCATCTACACTCGTGATGCTCAAGCTGTCTTAATCGAACGACCATAGATAGGGCTGCTTCTCACTGAGCTTCCCGGTGATGGTAGAAGGGATGATGTTATCCATGGCGGACGAGGTTGTGAGTGCATCCAGGTTTTGGGGAGTCACCTGGAACCCGAGGAACGTCACTATCATTGCATCTTGCGCGCTTGATACACTGATATGTTCGGTGCCGACAACAGAGGTCTGGATATTCGGTACCATGAACGCTGTCACGATGCATGTTCTGTCAGCTCGGGAAAGCAAATGGGTCGTCCCTACTTACCAATTGTCACTTCGCCCAATTCTAGGATACCGTGGTCTACGGGACCTTTTCGGTCTCCGTCAAGCTCATAGAGATGCCCAGTCTTTGATGACTTGACAAAGCACACATAGCGGATGTTCACTTCATCTTCGGCGTTTTCTGGCACGTCAGATTCTCCTTGTAATGCCGCAGTGCGATAGGCTAATTCAGTCTTTTCCAAATTTTCTTGATCACCCTTGCTTGGTCGGCCGGTGCGAGAGGTACGCAGGAAGATAGAATCCGTGCCATCGTGAAGTTAGTCGCTATTAGCTTGGTCAGTATTGAATCTGCGTGTATGTTATGCTAACACCGATCAATCCCCTCGCTTCCCCGTTATCTAGCATGTGGTATGCCCTACCAACCGCAGAAGTTGTTCATAGTCTGCTTATACCGGGTTACATACTCCATCTCACCCGGGCCCACGTAGTCTTCCCTCGCTTTTTTTCCCATTGCCTTTTCTTTCTCATAGCCATCCAAGGTGGGAAAGCCAAGAATCAAAGCCAGTACAGGGTGTGGAGGAAACGCTTACATGTCAGGGTCGAGTGAGAAGACATCTTGAAAGTTGAGGATAGGGATGAGCTGAGTAAAGAGATCAGGATTGCGTTTGAGTGGTATGTAGTGCTTGGTACAGCCCATGATCGTATCGATTGGACCATGTTGTTGACGACTAGGAAGGTAGAGATCTCCAGTTCTGGTTCCTTCATGCCTCTTCTACCAGATGTCGCTTGGATGGTAGGATTGAAGGGTACACCAGATCACAGAACTGTGTGTTGAGGATGGTCTGTCGTTTTGCAACCTGATATTAGCTACATGCTGAACTCCGCATTTGCGACTTTTCTATACTTATGATAAGAAGTGAGTCACGCCTAGATATCCTCTATTGATCTTCTCCCAGCATTCGTTTAGAAGAACTCCGTCTGGTGTTTTCTGTTACACAGATTCGGAGAGAGTCGCGCTTATAATTGCTCCAAAACCCAAGGAATTGTTTTGCCATGTTGTAATTTGCACCAGCCAATCTCTCGCTCACACGTCATGTCACCTCGGGTGTTATGTATATGGCAATGGCTCTCAACAAATCTATCGATCCAATTATCCGCTCGCTGCTTCTCCCATTGACTCTCCAAGAAGTTTGACTAGACAGCATAGCTAATGGTATTCGACCTATCAGTAAATATATTGCGTTTCCAGTACCCGTCTTTCGGCAAGCTCTACTAAATGTGCAGACCGTCAAGGCCAGGACAGTATCTCTGTAGCCTATATCTGGGATGACTCTGGTAAGGAGCCGTGCGCGGCCTTTTGCATAATAGGTCCACACATGAATTTTCCTCTTCCCACCATCCAACCGACTCTGCGAATCTTGGTTGTCAGCAAGCGACAATCACAAGCTCGCTTCAATAATGCCCCTCAATACTTTACCACTCGCCAGGACTTACTGCAAGATATGTCTGATTTAGGTAGTACTGACCGGCTGGAGAAGGCCACGATCCTTAATAACACAAATCCCAAAAATCCGCTGGCCCACATATGTGCTTTGTTCCTGCGCAAAAAATGTTACAAAGATAATGTCTCAAAGTCGTGTTATCGAAAGGTTGAAGTTTCGCAAGTTATGAGTGAACACATCTTGCTCGACACTGAATTTCTTTGACACTACGTTCGTGCATAAGTACCAGAAATATCGACTCTGACTTTCTTCTACCCTCCTCACCATCACTGCAATCTTCCAACTTCTCAGCCTTCAGATCATCCACCTGACGACCATACCTCGAGTCAATCAACGTCAGCCTTTTGAACATGTCAGACCGACTGAAAGTCTTTTCCTCACAACAGGTTCCTCAGCCATCAACATCAGAGGCAGCGAAGTCTGACTCAGAAAGGTCGTCTCTCGATGAAGCAGTGTACGGATGCGCCTGCGGTACGCCTGACGCATCTGTAAACTGGATCTGTTGTGACAATGACGACTGCCCGGTGAGATGGTACCACTGGGAATGTGCTGGGGTGACGGAAGAACCTTCTGGTGATTGGCTTTGTTCAATGTGCGGCCTCAGGTCGACCAAAGGCGCGGAACTGGGGAAAGCGTGTTTGCAGCTCAGAGAGCGGTTAATGTTGCCGACGGCAGGCGGACGAAGGCTCGTGCGACTCAGCCGATGGAGAGGCCGACAAGGTCGCGAACGCTCGGAGGGACCTCAAAGCAAGCAGCTAAGGGGAAAAAAGGGGCGAGGAAAGAGTCAAAAGAGGAAAAACCGGACGAGGAGGACCGCACGCAGACAGCTGTACCTAAAAATCAGCACGAATACCTGGAGCCAGTCCCTCGCCTACCGAAACGAACACCCACGAATGCCGTCGGCGCGTCAATTCCCCCTCCCGACGTCTCTGCTGAAGCAACGAACCCGACCACACCAGCACTCAGCGCCCAGGCCACGCACTCTCCGCCGAGTGGGCTACCGGATCCAAGCGAGGACAGCACGTTCGCAATCACCGTGCGCCGTCCCAGCGAGGTACCTTCGGTGCCTCCTGCGAGCGGGGCGGCCATGGTCATCGACACGGAGGAGCAAGGATGGACGCCCCTTGTCACGTCAGTGGCTCCCGACGGCGGCAGCTCCGTGGACTACTGGTCCTACCGCACGAACACGTGGTGCACGATCCCGCTCTCTGCGATTCGGAGCACGCTTCCGCGCCTTCTCTGAGAGGGGCTGTTGGAGTTGAAGTTGCTAGAGCGGTGTGCTTTTTGGTAGGCAGGGTGAGTTGAAACGGTCGGTCATTGGGAGGGGGGTGGTCGATGGAGCTAGGGATCGACTCGTTGTGATTCTTTTTCTCCCGGCTACATAGTCTTGAAAGGAGCTACTGATATCTCTTGAAGCAAATATGTTGAATTCTTGAACATGTTGGGTAACGAAAAGCGCAAGCTGTGACATTTGAGGGCTTTGAAAACAAGTCCACGGCGCAATGAATTTCTACCTCGCAGGGCTGTTGCCTCATTTGAAGACTAAATTTCCTCTCTTATACCATCCTCTTCAACCAGCAAGACGCACAGCCTTCCCAGAAGTATTGGGTAAGAGAAATAGTCCGATACCTCCATCGGCAGCTCTGGTGGCAGATGCGAAACTCTGTTCGGCACAATGCTTTGGCGGGACGTGTGACGGTTATGTGAGTCCTCTTTCGAAACTCGGAGCCTTGAGATATCTGCAATTGATGTTTGTGATCAAGCGATGATGGCTCTCTGCCTTAGATTGACCCGCTGGACGCGTTCATCTATTCCTCGTACTCTTGATTAATCATACATTACAGCTCTATTCAAATTCCGTCGAGCGCTATTTAGCGGAAAGGCCAACCAAGCTAGTCCTTTTAATGTTTTGTTTGCATCCTCTAGCTTCTACCTTAGACCTGGTCAGCTACAACTTGCTCGTCTGGCCCTTGCATGCTCCGAGCACAAGATAGTCGAGACTGATCCTCCTCCTTCGTTGTTGGGAGAACCTCAGCTGGTCCCGTAACATCATCTCCATCTTCTATAGGAGCATTGCTAAGCTCACTTGCGGCGGTTGAAGATTTAGTATCGCCTGAAGCCTTGAATACATTTTCCACGGATAACCGAAAGGCGCTCTCGATAGGATAAGGATCAGGCGTCCGATGTAAAGGGTTCAAGTGGTGCTTCGCATTCTGTCGCACGGTGTACCAACTTCTCTGTGGCTTGCCGTTCTACCTCTGTGTACTGAAGCTGAAAAGAGGTTTCAGCATAGGGATGCAAGGGGCAATAATTCCTACAGTTTCCTCCATCCTAGCAGACAAAATGGTCAGAATTAGTGAATACTATCGGTGGAACACAGCCCTTACAAAGACCAGATAGTCAAAGTCACACTGCCATCTAAAAAGACTCAATCATTGATCCTTCCAAGCTTCATTGTGGGGTCCAGATAAAAGAACATACAGGTAAATTCTTGGTCTGCTAGAGACCCAAGCAAGACGGTCCGTAGGAGGGCGCAGACGGCAGCGCTGCGGTGAATGATCAGTGAAAGCTGAAGGGTTGCTGCCAAAAGGTAGCCTTACAATATGCCCATTCCCATGATTATACAGATTCCAACTTTGATCCGGAGTCTGATCTGCGCATTCCATAAGAAGACAATAGGCAGAAGAGCGAGCGTCAAATCGCAAAACACCGAAGTAGCTTTACCAAAATCAGCCCGGCCATGGTGGTAGACGAGCATGCTTGACGTTGTACCACTTACCACCTTGCCAGTAGCCAATATGAACGAATGTCTGAGGCGGCCAGCATTCGCCGGAGATTGAAGGGTTCCAGACCTTGTTAAGAGGCCGACAAAGGAACAGAATACCAACGACTAAGGGTAGGTTTGATATCCAAATAAAGTTTATCATGAAATAGAAAAACAGTCCCCTAAGTCTTGTCAATTGCCGAAAAACGTCTCAGAAAGAAGCAGATAGAGATCCTCGTAAACACAGCCGACAGAACGATTGGAAGCACGTCAAGATGGTTCCATTTCGGAATTTGCTCCACCTGCTCAGGCGATACAAACTCCTCGTGCATTCCAACGCCTTCATGTACCTCGAAGACGTAGCACGCGTACAAGAGTATAGCAAGTATCTGGAAACGTTATTTCCACTGTGTGAGTGAAGAGTCCGGATCGTATGCAGCTCTTACTTTGGCAGTGGCTATGCACATATCATCCCAGCCTAGGTTTTTGACGATTCTTACCCGGACAAAAATTCGAACGATGGTGAAAATGAGGGCGATTGCCAGTTGCGATTGCTGAGACAGCCAGAAGTGCTGGATCTCTGTTGCCTTGATCCTGGAACAGAGATGAGGTATTCCCGCTGGTCATTATCTCCTGTTTGGTGTTCACACCAGAACTAGAGACTTCCGTTACTGTATCTCATTTCAATAATTCACAATAACGTAACAGTCTTTAGATATCTTGAAAGACTACAAAAAGCATAGAAGAAGTAGAAGGGAAGTGGAGGGCCATCATTGCAGTGATAAAGGCGGAACAGTATTGATGATCCAGCGTTGTGCAGGAACAAGTGTGCACAGAAGTATCTCATAGATCTATCATCGTTGGCGCCAACCACTTTCAATGATGATTATTAGTAAGTCTTATATAGGAACAAGATTTTGAATCTGCCTAGCCAACACCGCATCATGAAGCGCCGCGGCTTTAGTCTCCTTTTCCAACAATGAATCTAGAATTATAAGCCTAGATCAGTGCGAAATCATGAGAATCCCAAGTCTATTCATAGCTGCTCGATGTCGTTCGAAGCCTAGCATAGGGTCAGAAGAGAGCAAGGGAAGCGATATATAGTACAAGACTTATTCCTCCTGATGTATAGACGTCTAATCGAGAACGTGCGAAGCTTCTGTTCCGAGATAACAATCATGAAGCTTTAGCATCGCCGGCTTATATATAGCCAACCGTGATCGCATTCCAGCGTTAGTCATGATTGACATCATACAGAAAATTCTAGAGCTAGTTGTTCACTTGCCCATCGTACCCGTTCATTCCGCTCCCGTCCATGCCGTAGATACTGTTCCCATATCCCATATTTCCAGTGCCATTGTTAAAACCAGCGTTGCCTTGCATGGCTGCTTCCTGCTCTACCTCATTCCAACTGGCAAACATTTGATTCGAATCCCTCAGCCACCATTCCTGATCTTGCATCAGTGAATCCACACCACCGAACAGCCTTGTAGGAGATGTCTGCTGAACCGACGGCGCTTGCGAAGCTTGACTGTGATTCCATATCTCTTGTTGCGTTTGAGGCATGATGTAGCTGTGCTGCCTTGACTTGTTGAAATCGTTGGTTGATTGAGGTGGCATGGTAAGGATGCCGTCAAGACGCGGCATGTCTGGCGTAGGCATTGGACTTGCCAGGGGAGCAGTAATCGGGAAGAAGCCATTAGAGACACCGTTCGCGGGGTTGAGATGGTGGTTCACACTCGGTTCGGTCTTATGTTTCGCTATAGGTGGAGGCAATGGCTGCATCGGCGTTGGCGGCGGCATTTGATTGTCCGCCTTAGGCGTAACATCACGGTCGGGTGAGTTCAAAAACCCAAACCTCTCCTGCGCACGCTGGAGAGTCTTCTCCGCTTCCTCAGGCAGCTCGATATTCCAACGCCCCGCCACCGTACGTAAGATCCTCAATGTCCTGCGCGCGCACAGCCAGCTTTCTCCAATTTCTTCTAGATGCTTTAGACCGTGAACAAGGTCCCGTGCGGCATTTTTGTCTGGGAGGTTGAGAAGGTGTACCGTACATGCTGAGTGAGATATGTAGACGACAATGTTGCAGATTTGACGGAGGCCGTGGGTTCGTTTGTAAAGGCGGAGGAGTTTCGAGATCATGGAGGCGGCATGGGTCAAGAACTTCCGTGGGGAAACGTGGGAAGGTAGCGGAGAGGTCGCTTGTTTGTATTTGAGAAACGGGCGGAACAGGTGAATGAATAGAAGTTGGAAAAACATGCTACGGCCATGTCAGTTTGTTTCCTTTGCAAGGCGGCATTCGGGCTTACTGCATGACAAGGACATGCGGCAGCTGGCCCTCTTTTGGCTCCATCTCCTTCGGTAGGGTTTTCCGCCATGCTTCAAGTCTTGTGTGCAGCTCACTCAATTTCTTGAGCTCTGCCTGCTTGCCCAGTGGCTTCTCCAGCTGATGAGGATGGTAGAAGTATAGCAGTAGATCGCTACTGATCTCACATAGTTGAGATGTCTGAAGAGCGACAGCGCGTGTTCGGGACGGTTGGGCATGCGTTTTGCCGATCCCAGTGTCCAGGTAAGGTGACCACTCGTCGGCATCCTCCATTGGGAAGACATCGAATTTCGGGGCTGCGATGCTAGATAGTGGCAGCTGAGGTTGCCGGCCGAGGTAGTTCGACCAACATCTGGCATGTCAGAATCAACGGAATACAGCGAGGAAGGTAATCTCACTTGTCAAATAAGAAACAGCCCCATATTGTTATCCTGCGAGCATCAATCTCCGACTCATCAAGGTTGTTAGAGCCGGAGTCAATATTCAATCCTAGGTCGTAAGCCATTCGAAAGCTCATCCCACTGTACACCCATCCCCGAGCCTCGCGCCCACATCCAGCTTCACGTACAGACATGAGAGCGAGTGCTTGGACTGTTGCAAGCCTCGGATTTTCATGCTCATCATTCTCCAATATGAGTCTCTTGGCTTCCCTGAAGAAGTGATCGCCAGCGGTCGCGGAATCTTTGGGATCGGCTCTAGCTTGAGGCCAAGATGTAAAGTGACAACCCAATGCGAGCATCGCATTGACCAATAGCGGCGTGCAGTATTCAGTCTTTCGTTTGATGTCGCGGGGAGTTCTGCCCCGCTGAAAGTCACGGTAGAAGAGGCTTTTCGAAAGTGTGGTGAAGTAGGTGTAGTGCCATGCAAAATACATGTTGAGCAGATGGACAACTAAGTCCGGATCGGAGGTGACCTCTGTCCACGAGGTAATGGCATATTCCTGCTCTTCATATTGCTCGGAATCATCGGTTGAGTTGCTTCCATCTTCCCCATCCGTCCCAGACCCTACGAAGATCAGGTTTGAAGTTCCTCCAATGATGCTCACGGAGCCATTGTCCAGCCGCAGCTTGCCCATCTTTCCCGACAGCTCCTTTTCAAATTTGGGGACAATTGAGGGCGTGCCATTGTCGTTCGCGAGCGCTTCGTCAACTCTATCATCCTCTCCGACGCCGTTGTCTCTAGCTAGTATTGATTCGGCCACATCGTCCAAGCTCTCACATGTCCTTATCTGTTTGACCAAGCCCGGTACCTCGTTCTCCGGGTAGTTGAGGATGGCCTGGATGAGTGTTTGTAAAGTGGAATTGCGCGTCTTGAGGTTATCGATATCTTTCTTGTAGACGCCCTTGCGGCGATGGTCTGAGTTGGGGTCGTAGACACATTCGGTTCCGTAAACGGAGGAGCAAGCAGCACAGCTTGGTGTGTTACCATCGCACTGATCGTTCAAATCCTTGGTCAGCCATCCACTGACCCCACAGCGTACGGATTGTAGAGCAGGAAGCTACCTTGGATTTCCTCCTACGACAAGCTATGCAGGCGGTGCTGACGCATCGTCTCTTTGCAGATGCAGAGGCTGGAGAGCCTTTATCTTTGCTGTGCGACTTGGACTTGCCTGGTTTTGGGCTGGATTCGACAGCGGTGGGAAAGTCATTCGTAGGTGTTTGGTGGTCAGATTGGTCCTCAATCTTGGTTTCCCCCGCCATGTCTTCTCCTCGGAGATGCAGTCGGATCCCTGGATGGATCAGCCGCGAAGGAACGTGCGAGGGTGCCTTGGAGGCCCTTTTTCAAGTATTGATTAAGTAATGGAAATGCCCGATGGGTTGGTACTGGCAAGTGGATGGTTGATAAGGATGCATCCTCTCCTCATGCTGCTGATATTGAATGCAGTACGACGCAGTAGAAGCTGCACACGGGAATCCAGGATGGATCATTCGAAGATCCGCGATGGCCTGATAAGCAATGGCATTTCATTCGACCTTTTTCTGTCCTGTCACTATCGGTCCATCGGATGAAGGACCAGGATCATGCACCAGCTGGACGCGCTAGAGGTGCTATTGGCGGGAATCCTCGGTGGTTGCATTTGAGCCGCACCTCTGGGCCCAAGATTTTCCCCGAACACCACCATTCCACCACAGGTCCACACTTTCAGGCTGATGGCCTATAGGTACTCTGCTACACTATCATCCTCCTCTGTCATTGACACATTGCCAGGCATAGCAATTAGCAATGCTTACGAGTACCGCGGCAAAGGTCTTGGCTTCGACTACGGGTACCATAGCGAAAGGGTCCCACCCTACAGGCTGCAGCTTGCAGGTACTCTACAGGATGGAACACGCCGTTTGATTGGGCCCAACGCGCTTCAAAACACGCGCCTACACGCTTGACGGGAATCTTGTCCAAAGCCTCTTTTCAGTCAGAAAGCTACTTTCGCGTTGATGTCTATGCTTCCGTGGCCACACCTCTGACCTTTCTCCCATCTTCATGGATACTACCGGCGATGAGGACCTCAAGCTACAACGAGCCTCCGCAGATCTCATTGCAGAGCTACACCGTTCTCTTCCTCACTTCCTGTACAATGGCATACCCGCCGAATCTGGACATCCGCCTGCAGCCAGTGGCGGTGTTCGAGGCCTGGTCCGAGAGACCAAGACCGAC